TATAAATATATATAAATTGTGTAATGCTGGAAATTAAGCACATCCAGAGGAAAAAAGAAAAGAAAATCACAACACAAGTACATTATCACAGTCTAGCGGCTGCATATCAGCAGTACCAGCAAATTACCGGCAGGGGGCGACCAAAGAAGAAGTAGGCTTTCCAGATTTTTGAGCCTCGCCGCGTTCCGTCCCTGTCAAGTGATGATTCGCCGGCGTGTGTCACGTTGTGCTCCGCTTATAGCGTGGAAAGATGGCGGCGCCCCTGTGAACATGCCGAAAAGAGAAGTTGAGCAGTGACCGAGGGACGTGAGTAGCAGTAGCGTGTAGCTCGGGTGTATCGTACGAGGGGGAGCGATATATGAGTCGGGGGCGGGGCAGAGACGGAGTTGCACAGCGTTATCTTTACATTTATAGTACCTGGCTGGGCAAATGGAGGAATGTTGGGGGTAAGGAGGCAGCAGTGTAATGTAGGAATTCGGAAGTGTGAAGGGAATAGAGTGTATGGTTGTTCTGCATGTAAAGACATTTGGATGTGGAGTAAAATAACTGAATGGGCTGAAATTAAAGAGCAGCTGCTAGGGTTGAAATTTGGGAGCTGCCATTGCGGAGTTGTTTATAAGTGGAGAAACTTTAAGTTCAGAATAACCTACACTTAACATCTCTCAACTTGTCAGATGTTTAAAGCCCAATCTCAAGATTCACCCATAATTTATTACCCCCTTTCTGCTGGTGGGAGCTGGCCCTTTAAAGGGATCTTAAAGCCAGAGGTATATACTGGGCTTTCTGACTATCCGGCTGCCAATCATAAAAAGTGACCAGGAGCTGGCAGTGGCAATGTGGTTACAGTGGTGGGGGCACCGAGTGAGCACCAACGGGCTACCACACATGTGGAGACAGAATATGGTTATAATGCTACTGTTGTTTCAGAGAAAATGATATGCTGGTAACGAGATCAGGGAAAGTATCTCCTTGATCAATATTAGAAGAACCAAGTACAGAGTTTTCTTCCTATACTCTCCTTCAGAACATCATGTTGAATACTAAAGTTTAGGTCCTATAACTGTACTGCTCTCTCAGGTGTTTGTGATGCGCGCCTCCATCCTTCAGCTCTTCTCTGGTAACTCTTCAGCTCTGTTTTCCGGATTAAGACAACTGACGAGGATTTCCTGCAGGTTCAGGATGGAGGGTCCGGCAGCATCTCAGGAGTTGGGAGAAACCATAATTACAGAAGGGAAAGCCAGCGTCATCTACCCCAGTGCCAACCAAGTGTTCTACAATCCTGTCCAGGAGTTCAACAGAGATCTGACGTAAGAGAAAAGGCTGATTTTTGTACCCGGGGAGGGTTGGGAAGCGTCATCCTGTACTGCAAAGCTTACACTTTGATTTACTGATACTGACTGAAACCATTCTACCTAAAGAACTTTGTACAATGTCTTTGAAATGTATATTATGATGATTGGAAAGACCCCTAACTACAATATGGAAGCTACATGTATGGAAGTGACTATTAAAAGCTGTTTATCCACTTTAGCCCTAACTGCTCATTGTGGTCTGGGGCTGAAAATAACAGTTCTACTCACCCGACCCTCGGAGCCGACCAGCTGTGACAGCGCTCCCTCCAGTCTGTCACCAACTCCGCTGCAGCGATGGTATGTCCCTCTGCGTCCATGTTCTATACACTGTGTATAGAACCTGATGCAGGACCTTAAACTGACCAATGTAGCCTCATGGCATGGCGGTGATCAGGCTTCCGGTGAACTCCCATGGCTAAAGAGTCAGGCTCAGATGAAGTGAGCCCTAAGCAGGCCATACACCTGCAGATTTTCTATGGTCAGATGGAAAAAGAGCAACGGATTCCTCCAGCTACGCTAAACTGTGTGGATGGAGGAATCTCCCATGTGCCAAGCTTCAGTATCTTGCTAGTCGGCCCCACTGGCTCTCAAAACACCTGAACAATGCCTGCATCCAATCAGATTCTTCAAGTGTTTTGACAGCCAGCGGGGCCGACTAGCAAGATACTGAAGCTTGGCCTAGCATGAGATTCCTCCATGCACACAGTTTAGCGTAGCTGGAGGAATCCGTTGCACTTTTTCCATCTGACCACAGAAAATCTGCAGATCATCTATAGGTGTATGGGCAGCTTTAGACTGCTGCAGTGGAGGAGGAGAGACGCTCCAGGGATTGGTCAAAGAGCAAGCTGGCTTCGAGGGTCTAGTTAATCTGATTTTGTTATTTTTCAGGCCCAGACCAAAACAAGTAGGGGTAAACTTTGTATCCCATAGTTCTCTTAAGGGTCACGAGAGGACAAATACTAACCTCCTCCCGTGACCCAAAGCTCAGTATATAGCTCTCTATATACCAAGAGCGCCGCAGCCGGGACGGATCCCGACAATGCTGTCTGGATCCACCCAGCTAGCTGATTGACTGCAGGCCCTATCTAGAGGTAGAACCAGCTGTGCCTGCTCCCTCCCCTGTCGGTTCCTCTAGTCAGCACTGGAGGATCGGAGAGGGGAGGAGTGAACCCCTGCGGTGACTGACAGTCACGGCTCTCTGCAGGGAGATGACCGGAAAGTGAGCGAGCGACGGTATGTGTTCGCTCACTTCCCGATCACTAGAGCTGACGTGTGACAGTTTCATTGTCACACGTCGGCTCTATTTATGAGGATGAGCGAAAATCACTCGCCTCATAATTTTCCTTTTAACCCTTGCAGTGTGGGGGGTAGCCAGACTGCAAGGATTAAGAAAAAAAATTACCCAGAGTTCTTCTTTAAACTGTTCTGTAGATAAAACGTATCGCTCTTACTCTGATTTGTCCCATTTATGATTCTGGTACAAAGTTATTTACAAATTAAATAAGTGGGGTTTTTTCTAGTTTTGCAAGTTTTTGTAAAAAGATGGGGGAAAAAAAGTTTAAATGATTGTTTAGAAAAAAAAAGCAGAAAGGGGTGAAGAGCGGGGGAGGAGTTAATTAGGGTTATCTATAGGATCGGATCATAAGGGGTTGAGCTTTGCAATTGGGTTCTGCTTCCTATATTACTTAATCTCTGGATTCTTCTGACTTCTGTTTCATTGAAGATAACCCACTTATGTCTCATTCCTTAATGTTCTCAGTGTGCAGTTTTTGCTGATATTATGTGATCCATTCGCTTTCTCCTGCAGATGCGCTGTGCTCACGGAATTTACTCGCATGCGTCTTGCAGAAAAAGAAATTGACAGTGAGTATTTGCATTTGTTCCCCATGATATACTTTGTGACGTCATTCCATTTCTTTTAATCACTTGTTTTTTTGTCCTTTGCAGTCGTGGTGCCGGGCGAGAGGGAGAGCAAGAAGGTGGTTGTGAATCTTTCGGATAATGGAGACGATGAAATAAAACCTCCTCCAGGTGATGACGCCCCTTCCAGCCGCCGCACTGTCACTGTTGGGGAATCTTGTCCTGTAAGTGTTTAAGAAAACCTGCCTTCAGGTACCTTTTTTTTTTATTGCGTCCCAAGTGCTTTCTTGTGTCACCAGGAGTGTCTTCAATGGAGACTTTGGATTCTGTGACTTGAAGGTCCACGCTTCCTACCACCCCTATCTATGGAGGTCATCACAGTGACCTTTCATTGGTGTTGGATGGCAGATGTGCAGAATTCATATATGAAGAGCTGTGGTGCAGCAACAAATCCGATTCCGCATTGCAAGACTTTGACAGCCATGGACATGACTCCCAGAGGCAGATACATGATGGGATTTGTAGCTTCACCACAGCTAGAGGGCCAGAAATTGCCTACCCCTGCTCTAAACTAAGCCATCGGACTTATCAACCTCTATTCTGCTGCATACGCTCCCCATCCAGCTCCTGGTGAACTAAGATATTCTTGCCAGAACAATCTGATATGCCCACGCTGGCTTCAGCACATGTTGACATTTAACCACTGAATCCCCCCCCACTTACTCTTGTGCCACTCCTGTAACCCATACCCTATAATGACTGATTATTCCCTCTTCCAGGAAGGACTCCGTGTGCTGGAGGGATTGGCAGCCTCAGGTTTGCGTTCCATCCGCTTTGCCAAGGAAGTCCCCGGCCTCCACAGCATCATTGCCAATGACTTCTCATTAAGCGCTGTAGAGCTGATCAAACGGAATATAAAGTACAACAACGTGGAGAGCCTGGTGACGGGCAGCTACAGTGATGCCAGGTTAGGTTGTGTTAAGGTGACATTCAACTTAGGAGTTAAACCTTAAAAATGCTTTTCAGGTACCTTTTTAACTATGAACAAAAATGTATCTTATTTGTGTATCACTCGGCTGTAGATCCTCAAATCATCTCTGAATTGGTGCTGACACTGTCCTTCCTTCTGGATGGTGGCTACTTTTGTTCCCCATGGTCCCTGTGTGTGTTGTAAAGTAGTCTCCCCCCCCCTCCGGGATGGACTACAATCTCAATACAAACATGATTGTATTGCAGCTGCTACATCTGAGGACTGGTCAGCTGCAGTATAATACAATTTTAGTTTTGGGTTTTGTAATTCACATCCTTTCAGCGGACCAAGGTCATTTTAAGGGGATTGTGTTTTTAAATTGTTTGCTATATTAAATCTTATGTGCATATTGGGCATTTTCAAGCAAGCAAAACATATGGTCCGTGGTACACATAAGGTGGGCATGTCCCTTTTTTACTATGTCTTGTTCTAATTCATATCATGGACTAGCAGCGGTGATGGATTCATGGATGCCAGTTATGTTGGATCGAAGAGATGGTACGACAATAAGGGGCAGCAATGCAATGATCATAGTCTGTTGCCTGCCAGCTCCAGTGACATGTTCTGCAAAGAGACAATGAAAGGAGATATTTTGGGCACATCATTGAATGTATGTAGACTTCATTAGGAATTGGACATCGAATGCCAACACTCTCTGCTCCCTTGTCTGCAGGATGTTGATGTACAATAGGATGGGGATACGAGATCGCTTTGATGTCATAGATCTGGATCCCTATGGAAGCCCGGCCATGTTTCTGGATGCAGCAGTGCAGAGTGTCAGCGATGGAGGTAGGTGACTGATCTGTGATTTGAGGCTGGGCACAACCAGAGGGGGTTACAGCTGTCAGAAGGCACATGTTAAACTATTATTATTATTAGGGATGCACCGACACCGATACTAGTAGTATCTATGCCGATGCCAAGTATTTGGGCGAGTACTCTTACTCGCCCAAATGCTCTCATGCCTAGCCCTATACCTGAGCTTCCGGTATCAGGAAGCCGGGCAGCGAGTTATTACACGCTGCCCGGCTTTCTGATTTGGCCAGGAAGCCGGCTCCATGCTCCCTCGTCACCTGGTAATGAGGGAGCATGGAGCCGGCTTCCCTGCTTATCGGGAATCCGGGTGGCGAGTCTTTACACACCGCCCGTCTTCCCTGCTAATCACGAAGCCTGGTGGCAAGTCATTACACGCCGCCTGGCTTCCTCAATGGGATTTTCCGTATTGGCAAGTACCGGGAAAAAAAATATCGGTACCAAAAATCCAACTTTTTATTTTTATTTCATATCTTATTTTAGGCCCAGTGATGTCATCACTGGGTTTCTGTGCTTCTGTATATGCAATGCAGGCAGCCCATGACTGGTGGCAGGGACTGGCAGAGGGCTGTACATGGCACATCATAGCACCCTGCTGCAGTACGTCTCTCAAGAGCCCTCAGCCCTGATAGTAGCAGTGGGCCGGATCTAGGAGGAGTTATGTAGATATAAAAATCCCTTGATGGGCCAGTGTCAGTCTAAAGGAGTTTGTGTTCCTGGGCAGACTGGTTATGTATAGACTGCTCTAGGTGACACTCACACGTGATGCTGAGCCTCCATGATTTAAAGAGCTGAAATCTAATAAATGAAAGGGGTGGGCCGGGGACAGTCAGGCTGGGGTAAGACAGGGCTAGATGGTTCTGGACGCCCTCCAGCCAGGAAATGAGGCGGGCACTATCTGACTTGCTGCAGCTTTAAATGCACATTGTGAGTAGCTCCCAGTGTGCAGTGAAATCAGAGGAAGCCATTTCAGTCCAGGAGAGGAGCCGGTACAAGTGTGCAGGACAAAGGGAAGGCTACATATTATCACATTGTCCCCTCTTATCCTGCAGGGTTATTGTGCGTCACCTGCACTGATATGGCCGTAATGGCAGGCAATAACGGAGAGACTTGTTACGGGAAATACGGAGCCATGTCTCTGAAGTCCAGGTTCTGTCATGAAATGGTGAGTTGTGTGTCTTGTTACTGGGAGGAAAAAACCTGCTCATTCCATAACACCCAGGGCAGCATTTAGTCATCAGTGTGTGGGTGCAACGGCGATGGATCAATGTAGACAATCATTCTTTCTCTATTGCTAAGTTTGTTTCTGACCAGAGCCGGAGCATTGCATCCGCTGATCCCAATAGCAAAGTTTACTGGTTCCTGTGCAATAATTCACATTTTTTTCCTTTATGAAGATGCCTGCATTTTATTTATTTTCTTAAAGGGGACATTCACATTTTAAGAAGTTAGCAATTTCTCATCAATAGCCAAAATGATCATTGAGGATCAGTGGTTATCTGTAAGGGGGACTTTATTCCCACTGACCATCATGCTTATGCACTATGAGCTGTAGATCTAGTAATGGTCAGCAGGTTCCCTGAGACATCAACATTTTTTTTAAGGGTTCCTCCATGTTCAAAGGTTTGCGAATATAAAATGTCTTGAAAGAAGAGCCATGTGTGTTGGCTATCTGAGCCAATTAGATTCTTTGTATCCTATGTATTATACAAGAGATATATGATGGGTGGGTGGAGAGAACGGGGGGGTGGGTGGAGAGAACGGGGGGTAGGTGGAAGATGATTGATATAATGCCAAAAGTTTGCACAGCGCTTTACAAAATACAGGAGACAGTCCATTTACAATACAATTCAATACAAGAAGACTAGTTGGGTCCGTCTCCTAAGAGCTTACAACTGAGAGAGGAAGTGATGCAAAATGTAATGAAATTAGAAAATGATGGGATGGGATTGGCTGTTGCCAGGAATACACGTCAGTCTTGTGTTTGATGGGTCCGGTATCTTCTTTGTTCAGGCTCTGCGGATTCTGTTACACAGTTTGGATATGCGCTCCAACTGTTACCAACGTTACATCGTTCCCCTGCTCAGCATCTCCGCTGATTTCTACATCCGTGTGTTTGTGCGCGTCTTCTCAAGTCAGGCCAAGGTAAAGATGTCCGCCAGGTGAGCCTACCGAGTTCAGTTTACAGATTATTGTATATAGGTTGTGTAGTCTGTGACATGTAATTGTATGGCCCCCCCCCCCCTATTTCTCTGCATAGTAAACAAGCCTTGGTGTACAACTGTGTGGGATGTGGAACGTTCCATCTGCAGCGTATGGGTAGAGCCATTGCCCATGGAAACAAGTGAGTGATCTTCTCATTTCATGTGCTAATAAGTTGTGTTACAGTGGCTGTGTGCTACAGCTTTATCAATCCTTCTAGAACCCTACGGCCCACATGTGGCCCTTTGGTGTTTTCTATGCGGCCCCTGAAGACATTCGTCTGTTTCCATTACCTAGGTTCTTAGGCTAGTGAAGGAATGATGTTCTTTAGACTGACATTAGTAGTAAATGGTTTATTTCTTTCACACTGTCTTTAGTTTATTTTGTTTTTTGTCCATTCCTTTTTCTTATTCCATTTTTCATGTGTGTGTCTGCGTGTGAGGTTTCACGAGCAGTCTCCTGTAATGTGTCTCCTGTCTATGGACTGTCTATTGAAGCATGACCCCCACTCTCCAGCAAACTACTGTAGCATGTTTACAGTCTCTGACCATCTCTTTTATCATATCTGCACTCTGACCATCTCTTATAGCATGTCTGCAGTCTCTGACCATTACTTGTAGCATGTTCTTAGTCTGACCATCTGTTACATAGTTAGTCTCTGACCCAGTGTCCTGCATCATGCTTGCACTCTCTGCCCCCCGACTCCTGTATCATGGTTGCACACTCTGACCCCGTCTCTTGTAGCAAGCCTACAGTCAGACCAACTGGACTGTTGCAGCATTGCTCACCTATCACAGTTGCCCTCCAAGCATTTATCGACTGGAGATGGACTGTGAGTTAGCTTCCGTAAGAGCCACTGTAAAACCCCGAGTTGTTTTTCTACGTTGTCTAGATGCTTGCCTTAAATTTGGACTTTTCTTCTGTTCTGATTGGAGTTTTCCCATTAAATAACCTTTTCTTCACCCACACAGCATGAAGTACTCAGCTGGCTGTGGTCCTCCAGTGGGAATGAACTGTGAGTTTTGCCAGCAGCGACATCAGGTACGGCTTTGTCCGCCTGCTCTGTGTTCATCTTTTTAGAACTCCCTAGAGATTACCACACACATTCAAATCTGATTGTACTTTAGATCTACCAAAACTATGTAATACAAGCACCTACCTAACCCATTCAATTTGTATACAGTCAGGCAGGCCCTTGCCACTATGTATCTGTATGATCTCCTTTTGTTCTACCAACAATCAGATTGTAGCATGTGTGGTGAGCTCAAGGCTTTGGAGACTGATGAAGAGGTTGTTTTGTTTCAGGTTGGGGGACCCGTCTGGGCTGAGGCACTCCATGACAAGGAGTTTGTGCAAAGAGTTCTGTCCGCTTCAGAGCGCAACCCGAAGAGGTTCAAGACATCCGACAGAATAGAGGGAATGCTCAGTGTGGTCTCTGAGGTGAGTATAAACATCTTGTATGTGGGGGAGTCCTGAAAGGCAATTACCGTTGCTTACACCTGATATCATACGTGTAACTATTTGTATCTAAAGCACAATCCTGTTCTAGTGACCTCTCATGTTGGATGTAATGCTTGTAAAGCCTGCTTTTACTGCCACCTGTGTGAACAAGATCATAGAACTAGTGCAAGATCGAATTCCAACAGTGTTCTTCAGTGTGCTGGGTCACCTTATTTCTCCCTTATTTAGCTTTATTTAGTGTGTGCGACTTTGCTGCTTGGAGCTGATGAGATCTGTGAAGTCTGACAGTCCCTGACCTTTCAGCTGCCTGACCTCTGACCATTCTCTTCTGAGTGGGCAGTGCGTGGGGTCCTGGTACTGCCGCTGAGCTGTGCAGCTTCCCTTCTGCTGGGAAAACACAGGGAGTCGCTCGCTCGCATAGCAGCCGTTGTACAAACGTTTAGTATTTTTACCAATTAATATTAGCAGTTCTCTGATTGGACAAGGGTGGGTGATGTCATGGCAGTGACTGTATCCAAAATCAGCAGAAGTCACAGGTATTCTGACAGCCACACTCCCACATATCCTTGCATACAATAGCTGGCAGCGGGTGGTTCCTCTATCCACAATCCATCGCATAGGTGAGGGGTAAATGAGCTGTGTTCTGGCATGTGTGTGACCGGCTTAATTTAATAAAAATAAAACCTGTATGTAACCTGGCAGCAGATATAATACTTGTTTTGTTTCCACCGTCCAGGAGTTGGATATCCCATTATATTACACACTGGACAATCTGAGCAGCACAATCCGCTGCAGCACCCCCGGACTGCTCCAGTTCAGGTGAGGATTACAACACACCAGTACTCTATAGCTCTGCTGTGATCCTGTAGAGCAGGGGTGGGCAACTCTGGCTCTCCAGCTGTTGTGGAACTACAAGTCCCATGAGGCATTGCAAGACTGGCAGTTACAGGTATGACTCGCAGAGGCATGTTGGTATTTGTAGTTAAAGCACAGCTGGAGGGCCCACCACTGCCTTAGGTCCTGCAGCCAAGATCCAGAGAGCACCTAAAAGGGTGACTGGGGGGTTGTACTTACTGAGGCAAGGTCAGCCATTCCAAGTTGCTAAGAATAGAATAGAGACCCTCCTGCTACAGCGTGCCCGTGGTGAGAGGGGTATTTATACCTCGATGTGCCTTGTAAGATGAACTGTCCTCTCTTCCAGGTCTGCCCTGCTGCATGCTGGGTACAAGGTCTCCCTGTCACATGCTTGTCAGAACGCCATCAAAACCGATGCACCCCCCTCTATCATCTGGGATATTGTGAGGTGCTGGGTGAGTCCTGATCTGTTATTTATCATTGTATCTGTGAATCGCTGTTCCATTTTCCATCCCATGCCTTCGATTTACTGCAGTGAAAGTCGATTGATTATTTCACCCTATTATTGGAAAATCGAAGGGAAATAAAAAAAAATCAAAATTTTAAGTAAATTAAACTGCATAAAGGCAAATGTTGGGGTAAAGGTGTGCTGGGGGGCAGTCGGTAACCAGGCTGAGGAGTGGTAAGGTATAAGGGCAGAGACATGGGAGAAGGAGAAGTCAGTTGCAAGGGTGGTGGGGGACCTTGGGCTCAGGAGGGTCCAGGGTGCCTTTAGGTGGTTACGAGTGGGTAACAGTGACCCTCCAGCTGTTGTGGAACTACATGAGGCATTGCATGGCTCTCAGAAGCATGATGGGATTTGTAGTTTAAGCACAGCTGGAGGGCCGGAGTCGCCAACCACTGCCTTAGGTCCTTTCAGGGTACTTATGCTGACTTGGTTAAGTTCTGGAAGGAATA